GGCGTCTCCGGCAGATGATAGTAAGTTAAAGTAACTGAAGTAAATCATACGTTCGGCAAACTTTGAGCCAGGGTGACCGCAATTATGTCCATTAATTTAGGACTAGGATTTAAGTCTGATTTAGGATCCACTTAATTAATCACAACCCGCTCACACTTTTATATGTCTCCGTCATGTTGGGTAAAATCCCATCGGTTCGTGATTCATGATAAATCCCCGCAGGGCATTTCATGAGCGCCCATCATAGATCCATCATAGATGAGTGCCCATCATAGATCCGCAGCTCGTTTAAGCTTCATAAAATACAGAATTTTTGGGGACGGCTTCCCCCGTCAAGTGAAGTCTGCATGGTCGGTAAAGACACCTACTTCCTCGGGGAAATTCCCGAGAAGATTTGCTCGCAAAAAGGCTTGCGAATAATTTTCACGTCACCATTCATTAATGCGTCATTTTGTCGCATATCATTAAATGTTGAATTCAATGTGGTACTTGAAATAATTTTGAATTACGTCTATAAATAATTAGTCGCATTATGGTAAAATGAACTTTATTCAGCGTGTTGGCAACGCTACTGCTATAGGAGGTCACTCTTACTTTCATTGACACCTGTCAATCACTATACTTTTCCTTCGGGTGCGATAAATGGTTCAAGTAAAATCCTTGCAGGTTGCCAATTGTTGTCCCCCTGACTTTATTCTCGTATCTATCTTGAGACGGTTTGGTAGTTCAAGATGTCCTTGCGGACGCTATCGCCGTCTCCCTCTCGTATTTTCCTCTTTTAACTTAACTTTGTGAACACAAAACACAAAATGAAAAAAAAAAGAGACGAAAGTGACGAAAATTCAACTTTAAAAACTGCAAATTATGAAACAAAAAATCGGCTTGTAGCATTTAACACCTTCTCTTCTCTGTCGTTTTTCTTTCTCTCACTATCTGGCCCATTATGTGTTATACTGGTTCCTGATATCTGAAACGGCACCGAAGGAGGCCCTGCTGCAGAAACGGTCACCTTCGGAAGCCATTAGTCATTGGAGATCGCCGCTCGTCAGGACTCCCGAGATCCAGCGAAAACAGGAGCTCGCCAGTAGGGGTTCGCCGTCCTTAATGCTGTGGACGGGCCTGCCTGGATGCCGCAAACCCAGTCAAACTCCAGGAGCTCATTAGTGCAGGTATCAGCCGCCCTACGGTGTCGAAGAGGACGCTTCCTGCCGGACGCCCGTAGATCCTGACGAAGATTACGAGGACGTCTGTACGAGCGCGCAGCCGAGAAGGACCTGGACGGAGATCTGCGAGACATGCATTGGGCGAATAAGCCGCCGAGTTTGACCTGTACGCGGACTACGAGGATGTCTGGTCGAGGACCTGTGCGAGACCAGTCGAGGACGTGAGGATGTCGAGGACGAACGGATTCCCAGGGACCAGAGCGAGGATGACGACACAGAACGAGCAGCCACGGAGATGCACCAAGGATACCGCACCCGAGATCGAGGACGAGCAAGTTGGAACCAGCTAGGTTAGGTCACCCTTGAGGAAGTCTAGATTGCCTCGAGGGCGAGGCGTGGGTAGGTGGCAGAGCAGTGTGATATTCATAGGAACATCTGCCGATGACCTGACCCTCAGCTGCAGAGAGAGGTCAGCTTAGAGGCCTGGAAGCTGCCGCAGGCGGCCACGCCCACCCCCACGCCGCTGTAGCTCCGCCCCTGCTTCCGATGGTCGCCGATATTTATTCTCCAAGGATGACCCTGTCAGACTAGAGTGTGCTTTGGTGCGGTCGAGGTCACGTCTGACCTGGGCTGGGGCTCCAGTGACCCAGGCGACCCTCCAGCCGACCGCACGATACCCAAGACTGTCATCCCTTGTGTTTATTCACTATGTGCTGAACTCTAGAGAATAAAAGAGATTTAAGCCACTAAGCTTTCACTACTTCCCTGTCACCAATGTTTAGAGGTCCTTATATACCCCTTACAGACATGTTCGCAGAGAAACATGCTTACTAAGCCGCGGGATGATGCGGTCCGATGGCCAGTTCCGTTCCGCTCCGACTTTGACCCAAACATGCTGACGTCAGCATATTAGTACTCATTCACAGCTGAGTCGACTGAGAGGGGCGGTGGCCGGGCGCGAACCCGGGACCTTGCGATTGCAAAGCCACCACACGACCACTGAGCTATGCCATATGTATAAATAAATATGTATATATATATACATACATATATGTGTGTGTATGTGTGTATATATATATATATATATATATATATATATATATATATATATATATATATATATATATGTATATATATATGTATATATATATATATATATATATATATATATATATATATATATATATATATATATATATATATATATATATGTATATACGTGTATATGTACGTGTGTGTGTACAAATACATACACACACGCACGCACGCGCGCACGTACACACATAAGTATATATATGTGTATATATATATATTGGTCGGAATAACGCCATCAATAG